GTGGTTCTGCGACCGGATCCTTCTTTTCTGCCCAAGATCAACTCGGCCTTTCACAGATCACAGGAACTTATTCTGCCGAATTTTTGCCCCAGACCTTCTCGAGAAAGGGAAAGGCAGTGGCATACTCTCGATGTCCGACAGGCACTCCGTATCTATATCAATCGCACTCATCCTATCAGAAAGTCAGAGTCATTGTTCCTGTCATTTCAACCAAAGACGCTGGGTTTCAAAGTATCCCCGTCTACTGTTGGCTGTTGGATCAGAGCTACAATATCCAAGGCCTATTCATCCCAGGCGCTTCCGGTTCCTAGTGGAATAACCGCTCACTCTACAAGGAGTGCGGCTACCTCAGCAGCCTGGGCTACTCAGGCATCGATACATGATATCTGTCGAGCGGCTACCTGGGCATCTCCATCTCCCTTTATCCGCCATTACAAAATCGATGTCTATGCTTCAGCAGAAGCGTCTTTTGGCAGACGAGTCCTTCAACAAGTGGCGAGAGACTCAGAGGAGATTTCGGACCAGACGGAGTCCCTCCCGTAGGACAGGCCATGCTTTGGTATGTCCCACTCTGGATGCTCGCAGCAGCTCTATGGAGAATGGGCGTTGGTACCTACCTGACACGCCCTTTCTCATCGAGCTGCGTAGAGCATCCAGCCCCACCCTAATTGGTCCGTCTGGTGGGGAATCCTGTTTCGGCCAATGATTCTAACAGTTTATAGTTGAGAAATGTATAATAGTTAAGATGAGAGGATAGTTGTTTGTCTTCTCATCTTCATAAAACTGGGGAACGCTACAGAGGAGTCACGTGGAGGAGGAGGAGTGTTCCTCAATGATAGCTCAGCCTGTAAGAGTGAAGACTAGAGCACCTCCCACTCTGGATGCTCTACGCAGCTCGACGAGAAAGGGCGTGTCAGGTAGGTACCAACGCCCAATTTGGATTTCAAAATAAAACTTGGTACTGAAATTTCCTTGGTAGAGGTATTACCAAGAAAAGATTTTGGATTCTAATCCTGTGAATTCCATTTATGAAAGAAAATCTAGTTCTTGTAGATGGAGATTAAATGAAAAAGTCACCTTTGATCTTCTTCTTATTGGTTGTAAGAATCTGGCTGTTACTGTAAATAGCAATATCACTTAGACGTATATACAACTTCACAGTGCTTTATAGCTCTCTGTAAGTAGTTTACAGAGTCGGCATATTGCCCCCAATAATCTGGGTCCTCATTTTACTGACCTCGGAAGAATGGAAGGCTGAGTCAACCTTGAGCCTGGTGAGATTCAAATTGCCAAATTTCAGGCAGCCAGCAATTGGCAGAAGTAGCCTGCAGTACTGCACTCTAACCACTGCACCACCACCGCTCTATAAATACGAACTATTAGGATTTGATTTAATCCAGAAAAGTTCTTTCCTTCCTATTTTTTTTTAATTAAACCTTTTTGTTAATTTTTCAATAATTCTGATTTTCATTTGGAGGCTACATTTATGTTGTACAGTATTTACAAAGTTTACTCCATCTGTATGGCAATATGCCTACCAACTTTAAAACTACTGCCCTGAAGATATATGCAAATTTGGAGTATATAAATACAAGCAAACCACAATAAATACATGTATTGTAATGCAATACCTTAATACATAACTGTGATGTGAATTCTGGCATTAAACCTCTGAGACTGAAAATGAAATCTAACACAAGCAGAATAAGGGAATTGTTTTAATACATTAAAATCCAATATTGGCCCTTTACTCTTTTGATAGTTTTTACTCGCCTTAAATGCTTAAACGCAGACTTTTAACCTTTTGCTAAGATGCTTTTAAGAATAGCTGACAGACTACCACAATCTCCTTGCAGAAATATTGACAAGTTATTCAAATAATTCTCTTCTTTATGCACTACTAACATCAAGTTGCAAAATGAGTTTTCAGCAAAGCCTAAAAGCAGAACCTTGAAGGGATCTATAAATCAGAGCAAAAACAAAGAAAATAACATTTTGTGCATGGCTGATTTCCTCATTCCAGTGAAGAAATTGCACCACATTTTGAATGGATTTTCCCTCAAATCTGTGAGAGTTTGTATATGGCTGACCAATGAAAGAGCTTAGGTCCTTCTGGTGGAATTATACCAACACTTGTCAACAAACCAACCTAGACATTCCAATGCTTTACTATTTAACTTTATTTTATGAAAGGTGACACAGCATATCACATAGCAAGCTTGAGACTTATAAATATAAAAAATGCTTTGAAAGTCAGTGGAATAGTTGTCTAGCTTAGGCCTTATACGAGATCTTGTCTTGAAACAAGACTATCTGATCTATGGGGACTCCCAAAGCTGAATCAGTGAATTCCAGGGTTTCTAGTAGGCTGCTTATAAGAGAATATCTCAAATACAATTTAACAGAAGTAGATTAATATTGACTCTGAAAACATCTTTTCCAGATAATAGAAATAACAAACAGCATGCTAAAATAATTCTCTAATTGCTTAAACTTCCTCAGACTGAATTTCTTTTAGTTTTCACATTTATCATCCTAGTTCCTGCTGAGGTGAGCATATTAATAACTCAATGATGGACAAGAACAACTTTGAAACTGTCTTGTAGAGAATATCAACTGTTCCAAAACAGCAGGGAGAACTGGTAAACAGAGACACAACTGCTGATAGGCAAATAAACTAAGAGTAGCAACATGAATCTTGAGAGGAAAATTATCACCGCACTTAAGCCAACATCAGAGTACATTCACAAACCTACCCTTTCCAGAAAGTGACACACATGTGCACTTAGGGAACCACACATATTAATTATTCCTTGATTAATTTTTCAGCATTTGGTGAAGCAGAATTGCATTTAGTCCATTTAATTTAATGATATTTTAAGTTCAGATTTATTTAATAATTAGAGATGTAACAAAACTATTTTCTACAATACAAAACTTAAAGATGAGAAATTCAGCTATTGGTGTCTTTAAATGATCATGGCAATCATCACAATGTGTTAAAATAATGCCAGATTTATCAGCAGAACTGCTAAACAGAGGCAGCAATTTATAAATGTAATAATTTTGATGCTTGCTGAAACAGACATAATTTATTCATTAATAAAGTTCTTACATATTCATAAATACTTATAGACTATGGCTATTTTCAGTTTAGTTTGCCAAAATTATCTTTTTTCTTAGAGAACAATTAGTCATCAGCAAGAGACAGCTGTGACTATCTCTAAGCAATCCATTTATGAGAGTAATTATAAGGTTGTGTAGTCAGTTTGCTTTGTTTAAAAAATACCATTATTACTTCTTAAAACAAATAATAAAATATCTTATTGAGAGATTGGAGCTCCTAATGTTTATGCATTTTATTTCCCCATATGATCCATGTGACTCTGGATCCATTTTACCTTGATAAAATCTGCATAGCATTTTGAATTTCTTTTTATATAATTTTCTATAATTTCTAGAGATCGAGATAGGTATTATTAAGCATCTTAACTAAGACTTACAATAGTGCTAGTTACATAAAGGCCTCTTTGGTAATGCAAAACACAAATCAAAAGGATTAATTCCTATTTATACAAGTTGGAATGGAATATTTATTTCTTAATCCCTTTCCCTTCTAGCACTGATGATGTTACCTAGTTGGGTAATGAAACATCTGTAAGAAAACAACCAAGCTCAGAGAACATCAAGGACTTTTCCATTGGTGTGTCTTTCTTATTCTACATTTAAATTCTGGATTCAGCATAAAGAATAAAATCTATGTAACTAGTATTCAAATCTAAAAAACTAACTGTCCTTTGTCAATTTTCCCAATGTCCTTATTAATGAATCATAATCTTATTACATACAGCATGATAAACATGACAGCCTGATTCAAAATAATTTCATAGGAGGCAAGACAGAAAAAGGAATACTTCCCTTTATTCTTTCAAGCAGCTTCCTCTTTTGTTATTTTAGAGATCCAAATCAATTAAGAAGGGAAGAGAATGTTACCAGTTTACCAGATTTTTGCTAGTTGCAAAGGACAATTGTAACATTTTAATAAGCAAACCAATGGAAGGAAGCAATAGAAAAAGAGGATATTTATTTGTTGCAGAATTTTTTAAGAAAAAGAAAAGATCAGAGTACGACAAGGAAGAGAAAATCGTAATTACATTTCAACATAAGCCTTCAGCAAACAACCCTGTAAAATGACAAGGCATTTCTGATGTTACTTCAAAAGCAGCCTTTCTACTTGCAAAGTTAAATTTTCTTTTCTTTAATCTTATAATCTGTCTTAAATGAGCCTCAATCTTGTAGAGCAATTTGGGGGGATAGATGAATCACACACTCCTTTCTCTATAACAAAGCTTCCCAGTCAACAAAAGAACTGGACACAGCCCATGCACTTTTATCTGGAACAATAAAGGGCAACAATTATAATTTAATAATTCTATGCAGGAAGATTAAGTAAACAGATGAACAATAAATTCACCTACATAAATATAGATATACAGTATATTGTATATTGCATAGGTATATATATTGCAGAGATACAATAGATATATAGATATGTAACATTGTTGCCCTGTAAGTGTAAATATATCTGATCTACAATTAAAGAGCAGCAATACTTGAAATCAGTGGAATGCAAAACTTTCATACTGAACCACTTTTAAGCAGAAAGTGAAGCAAAACATCCTGCTGTTCAAGTAAGAAACTGCTGCTTTACGTGTGAAAACCCAAATAAAACTTTATTTAAAAAAAAAGAAACTGCTGCTTTAAACCTCTTGGAACTGTCCTAAGCTCAGGGTATCAGCCCTGTATACAAGACAGGACATACTGCGACATTTCTCACTTGAAATAGTTAGAGATGAATTGTATGCGCATCCCTGTTGGTAAAAACAGTGATTCTAGGTCTACGACAATGTTGGTTAGTTATCATAAACGAGCTAAGTGATTCACATGCAGCTTGCCTGTTTAAAAGAGCCCTTTCATCCAAATATTGCAGAGCGCCTTACCTTTAACGCAGAAGCCAAGCGGATCATGTGCTCATTCAGGGTACTCTCCGACTCCTTGTAAGTCAGACAGGTAAACTGATATTCCTCCGGATCAAAGGAATCGGCTCCTTGCTGCTCCACGTCATTTGCAACCCCTTCGTAGTAACCCTCAATGTCCCCGGGATCTTCATCTTCTTCCTCATCACAGTTTGGATCATAGTCCTCCTCATTGCTGTCAGAACCTTGGCTGTTCATGTCCACAGACATCTTAATGCTCTGCCAAACCACCAGGCAAGTCACCTACGACAGTTTCTGGCTTTACAAAGTACTATCGTTCTTTGGACTTCATCTGACTCTTCTGCCACCTAAATTGAACATACCAGGAAGAAGGGAGTGGGAAAAAATGTTTGCAAGTTTTATTAATAAAGAATCTAACAATTCTTATGGGGAATTCAATTTAAAAGAATCAGTATTTACATCTGACATATATCATCATTCTTTTATTTTTTTTAAAAAAACTAGCTGCACCTATATTATTTCTGCATCCAAAAAAGGATCCTTAATCAAGGTCCTGTTCATTTACTAATCACCCTTTTAACAATGGTAATTTATTTTGCCTTTTGTTATTTTTTTTGTCCTTCATTAAATCCATTACTGAGTTACTGAAAATGTTGGGAGAACAGTACTTACAGTACTGAAATAAAATGCATACTGTTGTGTGATGCAGTGACTCAGTTCCTCATTCTCTGAATAATTTAGGCTGCTTTCTAATTATTAGGTAAGTATCCTGCTTCCTAGTAAAACCATAAAAACCATCAGGTCAAAAAGCATACATACACCATAAAATTCCTTAACTGAAACTATCAATACACACAGTATATTTATAATGTTGTCACCTATACAAGCAAGTACCAGTTACACGTGTAACAAGAAAAAGCTTTTTAAGCAGTTTCCACAACTTTTTAAGAAACATTTTTATGGCTGGCCAGAAGGAAGGCAGTCTCTACTGAGAAGCCATCTTGGATGTCACATAACAGAATCTGATAGTAGCAATGCCCTTAAAGTCTACTTGGATAAGCTTAAAGGTAGAAAATATTAAAGAAAGCGTTCCTTCTAACATGTACTGTAAAGCTAAAGGATTAAGGTTGTCACTTCAAAAACAGTTTCAAGTATTTCTTTATGCAAGGATCTGTACTACATTCATCTTTGCTATATCTCCTGAGTTTGACCACTCGAAGCCAGAGAACTGTACTTTCCAAATTAAAGGAAAGCCCAACGTACTATATCCTCAGTAATGTAAAATAGAAGTGATATAAACGGCAACTTTCTATAGGATACAGAAGTGGGTATATTGGCAATTTTGAACGAGGCTATCAAAATATATTTCTGCCACAAGATTACCAAATAATAATCCAGAAGCACCATGAGGCTGCAAAACTCTCTCCCTCAAAGTAGACACCATGTCCAAAGGAAAGTATGATTTACCAAGAATTGACCTTGTCGTAGACAGAACTGCTTGTATCATTCTAAGTAGCATGGTCTACCCACCAAGACAGGCAATATGTACAGTTAATTAATTCTGGATATACCATTATCCTCATTGGTAGTATCAATATTTTTCAAGATATCCCTCATAAATGCTTATTCATACATTAATCCTAAAATTGTTGCATCTAGTCACAATTATAGATTACCGGGGGGGGGGGGGGAGGAGACGGGACGACACGACTATGCAGTGAATAGATAACTGAAACCTATGTCATCTATTCACTGTGTGGTTTGCCTTTTTCCCCAACTCAGTGTTATAAAAGGATTAGAATACAGCACATTTATTTTTTAATTTTATTTAATACATTTAAATGTGTATTAAACACATGTATGACTTTTAGTGGCCAATAAGAAACCAGGCAAAATTCAAACATAAAATGAAAAAATAGTGAGAACAGCTGACATCCCGAATTAACTTAACCATTAAAAAAAAACCAGGCCCAACCATACTATGCTATTCTGAGGGGAAATTGTAATATGCTATACAAGTTGATCCCTCAGAGATGCTGATTTTACATTTCCATATATATAACTGTATGTGTGATGAAATGTAGGGTAAGAAAATCTCAGCATATCAATATTATACTCCTTCATTAAGTAACTCAAAACTGTCATACAAAATACTTTATGCCAACTACATTGAAAGTATTCAAGGCTTAAAACCTGTCAAACTCTACATTTTCACTCTTACAGGTTATCTCTTGTCTTCACATATACAGAAACTGAAGGAACTTAAACTGGGCCTGGCAATGGAGATTAAGCAATAACCCCAAGTAGAAGGGACAACAGCGTAACATTACTTGTAACTTCTAAAACATAGGATTCTGTTGCAAAAAAATAATTTAAGAATAGGTGATATTTTACATATTACATTAACTGTAAACATTACTTTCTCTCATGACAGTGTGTATTCCTCTGAAACTATAAGCAATTAATAAATTTTAATTTTGTTAATTATCACTGATTATGTATGATGGGCCCAGAGTTCTCAACACATCTAGGGATCTAGCATGCACACAGGTATCTTCTAAACTATATTTCCTAAACTATATTTTACTAAGTTAAATTAAAAAGTTGAAAAAAGCACTAACTTCATTCCATAGTATTCAACAAAACCTGAATGCCTAAAATTATAGTTAAATACAATCTATAAATCTAAAATAGGCTTGAAACAATATAATAGGATAATAAAATGTTTTGCAGTTTTCAATAATGGTAAAAAGAGTATGTATAAATCACTGCAATTCAGTTTTTGAATAACAGATTAAACCTAGATCATTATTCAGTTTTGCATCTCTGCTAAGGAATAAATAGTTCAAAGATTGAGATTGAACAAATTTCATTAAAGCAATTTTTACAGTCCGGTATGCTCCTTTCAAGAATGATCTATGAAAAAATCAGGGCCCAGACAATTATAAATTACATTGTTTGAATTGCTGGAATTTTCTTCAAAATATTCCCTTACTCTTTTAATGCATGACCTTTGAACATTCCTATCTATATACAGGGTACAGTCCATATAATCACTTTTACCACAACCCAAGCATAATATCCAAAGCCCTTCAAATCTGGGGATATAATTTAATAATATATTAACATATTCAAATTTTTACTTCCTCCTACCACTTGGATAGTAATATTGAGCCTGAAACAACTACCCTACTGGTGGACACAACCAGGTTACATGCACTAATGCATGATGGGTGAAAGTCTGTGTGTTTTTAAGTATGTGACACTGATTAAGTATAATCAGTGTACAGGTTGAAAATAAAGTTCAGGCAGGTTTTTTGGGGAAAAATGAGAAACAAGCAATATTGTTCATGCAAACTCTGAGAAAGAAAAAAATAGTAAAAAAGATAAAAAACAAAACCCAAGTCAACATTTTCTTCATTAATTGCAGTTGTTGGCAGTTACCAATTTGAGATTGGCATCTCCATCAGATCTTTTGAAAGTCCTTTTTTGTTTTTCCCCATGTCTATTTCCACCTTCTATTACATTACAGATATTCTGTCTGAATATACATGCATTGATCTGAAATGTTTTAAAATTATTTTGCTGAAATCTTTAAGTCTTCCTTGGCTTTGACTTCTCAAAATTTCTCATTTTTTGTTCTGACTTTTTCTGTTGTTTCTTCGTTTTTGGCAATTGCTTTTTTAATAGTCACCCTTAATAATTTTTTTGACTTCATTCCATAGTTCCTTATCAATGAGGTACAGGACTTCAAAGTGATTCCTGATGTTCTCATTGAAAATTGTGGCGATATACTCAAAATCATATTGTAACAACTGCCTGGCTTTCTTTTTCCACTATAATTTGATGTGGAATTCGCACAATTTTTTGTATGATTGTCAGCTTCTGTCCACACCTTTGTTATTACAATTGTACCCTTCCACTTTTTTCTACCAATAATATAGTCAATACAAAGTGCATCTACTCCATCTGGTGATATCCACGTCTATTGGATTGTTTCACTTGCTTGAAGACTTTTCAAAATAACTACCAGTATTGTGTGTGTCTCATAATTTGATGGTGGTAGTTTACTTCACTTTGTCATTGCACCTCATACAACAAAATCAAACACCATCTTCATCATGACCATGAAAATAAAATAAACACATCCTTTACACTCCACGCATTGAATTGAAAACCCCCAACACCACACCAACACTGCACTATACAGTAGAATTCAAAAGAGCTACTGCCCTGGGATAGAAGCTGTTTTTCAGCCTATTTGTCCTTGTTTTTATTATTCTGTACCATCTGCCAGATGGTAGTAGTTCAAAAAAGGGGTTCCCAAAATGAGATGGATCTTTGAGAATGTTTTGAACTTTTTTAAGGCAGCGGGAGCGATAAAGCTCTTCCAAAAAGGGGAGAGGGCAACCAATGATCTTCTGGGCAATGGCATTAACCCTCTGGAGTGCTTTCCTATCTGCCACTGTGCAATTGGCAAACCATACAGAGGTGCAGTGTGTTAAAATGCTCTTTATGGTACAGCAGTAGAAGGTCACCAGCAGTTTTTCATTCAGTTGTTGTTTTCTGAGAAGTCTCAGGTAGTATTATCTCTGCTGGTCCCTTTTGACCAGGGCTGCAATGTGAGCACCCCAGGTCAGGTCCTCTTTTAGGGTAACACCCAGAAACTTAAAACTGGCCACTTGCTCCACTCGGTCTCCATTGACAAGCAAGGGCTGGATGTCTGATCTGTTCCTTCTATAGACCACTATGAGCTCTTTGGTCTTATTGGTGTTGAGGACCAAGTTATGTCCCCACACCACGAAAGCACACCTCATCTCGGTAGGCAGACTCACCCCTCCTGGAGATGAGTCCCACCACTGTTGTATCATCTGCAAATTTAGTATTAGTATTACTAGCATGAGTGGGAATGCAGTCATGCACATAAAGAGTATAGAGTAAGGCAGGGGTCCCCAACCACCGGTCCGCGGAACAAGTCCTACCGGGCCGCTGGTTTGCTGGGCGCCGCCATCTTTTTTTGATGAAAAAGTGCTTCCGGTGAGCTTTTCCGGGTAGAAAGCTCACCGGAAGCACTTTTTCATCAAAAAAAGATGGCGGCGCCCAGCTGATGCCGGTACCGGGCCACGGCGCCCAGCTGATGCCGGTACCGGGCCGCGGCATAAAAAAGGTTGGGGATCACTGGAGTAAGGGACTCAACACGCAACCCTGTGGTGTACCAGTGTTAAGAATAAGGGCTGAAGAGGTATGATTACCTAATCTGACCCTCTGTGAGTGGCCAGATAGGCAATCCATAATCCAAAGGCAGATTGAATAAGAAAGTCCAAGGTCCAGAAGTGTAGACACTAGTCTATGTGGAAGAATTGTGTTAAATGCAGAACTAAAATCTACAAAAAGCATCCTCACTGATCAGCAAAGTCTTTAAGCACTCAGCCAGAGATACCGTCAGGACCAGCAGCCTTTCTAGGGTCCACAGTCCTCAGAATGCTCCTCACCTCCTGTTCTTCCACAATGAGGTGGGGGCTACAATTGGCTGGTGATTGTATTTTATCTGTCTCTGATGTCTCCACTTCAAAGCGAGCAAAGAAATGATTCAGTTCCTCTGCCAATGAAGCATTCCCCTCAGCAGGGAGGACATAGGGGCTCTTTTGAAGGATTCCTTATGCATGGATAACAAAACAGAAGTCCTTACATTTTGTTTATACTTATGCCTACCTCATGTAACCCAGGGGCCTTTCTAGATCTCATTTGTTTCAGTAATATCTAAAATGTATTGCAATGATGGTATATTTACCATCCACTGAACAGGGACTCTGTAGATGTATTGCACTTTTTAAAAAATCTTCTGCTCCCTGCCCACTTCTACAGCCACACAATACCAAAATGCCATAAATTGAGAATTTCATTGTAAATTACTGTGAAGTATTCTCAAATAATCTCACTTTTCAAATCTCAAACAAGGAGGCAATAGTTTATCATGTTTATTTTCCTGTTTCTACTGCATCTGTTTGATCAAACTTTGAATTCCAAAGAAGTTTAAAGAAATTCTTCCATCTTGAAACATGCCATATAGGGCTGATAAAAAGTTTAATCCTACTTATTGGGATTTAATTGTATCTATATAGTCCCAAATAAAATTCTCAGTTGTTTCCATGAAGAACATTCCAGTGCTGGCAGCTAGCCTTTATTCTCCTTAAAATATTATTCCAATCAAAATTAAATTAAAATCTCAAGGTAGACTTTTCTAGGCTACTTGTAAGCTCAAAAGATTTACAGAACCTAAAACAATCCCCAATTCATGTTTAGTTGAACCACAAAAATGCATTTCAGCCATTTAACAGTCCCCATTACTAACTACTTATATAATACCCATTAGTATTCAAAATATCTTCTTTAAATACATAGCTGGAAGATTTCTTAATGACCTCTACTATTGTCCTTGCAGTTTTTGAATGTCTATTAGTATCTGCCAGTTTTTTTTTTAAACTTTATACTCAAACTATATTTTTAATCTATAAATTAAGGGAGCATGCTGCAAAGTACTCCTCTTCATCATCATTCCTTCCCCCAGATATATTTAAGCTGTCGATGAACCCAGGAAGTGCCATGACAGTTTTTGAAATATTAAATTTGTTCATTTCAAGCATCACAAGATTCTTGCTTTTGCTGAGTGTTACAGTAACACTGAACTTTCCTTGGAAGGATGGATATACTTTCTGGTACACCATAGTGCATTTAATCAGCATTTGCTTTTACTTTAAAATATCTTGCAGGAAAAGAAAAGTGTAATTTTGTGTGCTCACAAATATTTACACAATGAAATCCTGTAGCCCTAGCCTTTTTTGTCTGAAGAACAACAGGAAATGCTGTTAATAATTAAATTTCTTTGGCTAGCACCAATTTGGATCAACTTCATTTAAAACTATAGTTGTGTTACCAAAAATTCCTATACTATAATAGATAATGTAGTATTAATCAAAAAATGTTGTCCAGAAATATTATATTTTGAAATAACTAGCTTTTAAACGTATAAAGTCAAGGCTAATTTTAAAATGCTCAGATTGAAATTTTTCAACAAACTTAACTAATAGCCTGCTGCATTCAAATTAAATCAAGAACTTTTCTATTGTAGCAGTTCTAACTATAGACAATCATATTTTTATTCATTCAATAAGTTTTTCTACCAGCACATTCTTTAAAGACAATTATAAAAGTAACACCATTTAGCTGCAACAAGAAAGCTCACAAAAGCAATCTTGGCACAAAATTTGGAGCATTCTGAACTAGGTTTTTTGCCAAGTCAAAGTTCACCTGGAAGAAGAAAATTTCTTATTAGAAGCCTCCATTGTCCCCCCACAATTGTGCTAGTGCAGAAAAACTGTGGATAAAAGTTAAGAACACTCTTGCTATTATACATGTTCAAATTAATTTAACTTTTCCCCATTGCATTTATTGTCTAGCCTGCACTTTAAGCAGCAGTTGCATTTGCACTTCATTTTTAAAGCAGGTTACGTTGATATATCCCAGGAACTGAACTTTGTAGTAGTAGACAAAGCAGTTAAAAAATGATAGGGTCATTTTTTTACTCTTATTTAGTTTACATTGTTAAATGTCACACGGACAACAATAGAAGTGATGGAATCTTTCCTGGGTAAAGAGAATAACCGCATGATTATTTAAAAAAACAACAACACACACCCTGCTATATCCTACACCTGTTTTCCACCACCACCATCGCCCCCTCCCCAATATCCTTTTTTTAAAAAGTCGAAAAGCTCCCTGAAAAGTCTGTTTAATTTGGATACGTTGACAATCAACGACTCGTCCCAGCCTCCCCCACCCCACCCCACCCCCCGAATTGCTACCCGGCTTTTCCCCCAACTCCTTTTCTTCGGCCTCCAAGTCCGGGGAACCGAGGCAGGGAGGAACTAGGGCCGCCCTCAGCACGGCAATCAGCCCGCCTGCCCTTCCACGAGAGCCGCCGCCGCCGCCGCCCCAGGAAAGGCAGAGCTTCCCTCTCCATCCCCCCTCCCTCCATGTAAACAAGGCCCGGCTCCCCTCCTCTACGCTCACCCAAAGCGGGGAGAAGGCCCGGCGGGACTGGACGTCGCTCCCCACAGAGAGAGAGAGAAAGAGAGAGAGACTCGGCCGCTGCAACGGCAGACTCGGCGAGTGTAACCCGGAGCGAGGGGGAAAGGAGAGAGAAAGATAGAGAAGGAAAAAAAAAAAAATCACCTTCCCCCAAGCTTCTCCATCTCTAGCCGGCCCACTATGGCTTGAGCACCGGAAGCTCCAGTCCCTGGCGGAGCGTCGCTTCCGCCGCTAGAAATGGCAGGAGGAGAAAGAGGCAAAGAAGTCCCAGAGCGTCAAAGAAGCCCTCCCGCGGTGGGGGGGGGGGGCGCTCAAGAGTTTAGGAGGATTGGAAAGGCAACACTGGCCGGAGCGAAGAAGGGTGTTGGGTTGAACCACTGGACATGGCGGTGTAGGCAATCAACCTGCTATTTTTCATCAGCTCCAAAGCGATCGGCTTGAAAAAAGAAACTTATGGTGCCGTGCGTGAATAAAACGAAATGGGACAGGGGCTATTAACAAGAGCCCGGCCCTTAAGGGGTGTTTTCCTAAACTGTTTGGAAACTGTTTAGGTCCTTAAGGGGTGTTTTACTAAACTCCCCAAAAATCACAGGAATGGAAAAGTCTCAATAGGGGACTAAAGTCACGTGTTCGCATGGAAGAGTGTTTAAGCTTTGCTTTCAACCTAGATTTGGCAGAGATTCTTCCTTGCTCGTGCACCCTTAAGCTGGCTGTTGAATAGTTTGCACAACACACTCAACTTTTCATCGAATGGGCTAGGTTTGCAAAACACTGCTAAGCCAGAGGAAACATAACCAAGGATCGTTAACTTAGCTACTAAGCATAGTGGGTGAACTAAAACCTTGATTCCCCCACCCTCATCTTCCATATGTATTGGACTATGGGTACACTTCCCAAAGTCTTAGCCATCATAACCAAAGATATTCTTATAGGTGCTGTTTCAGAGTGGCAGTTTTTGGGAACATTAATTAACCAAATAAAAAGTGGTTTTAACTACGCTTATTTGCATGATACTTTGAGCTATAAACTAGCTAAACACGTTTCAGCCTAGCATCTGATGCAATTTCAGCCAATGCAATCAGTTTATGGTGATCAGTCAATCAACTGGGTCATGCAAATCCAGAAAATGAGAATAATGGTTACATGAACTGTTGTAGAGCGACGGAATAACCTGAGGCGAACACGGAGCGAACTTCAGCTTTACTGTATTGTAACAATAAAGGGTTGCCGCGGCTGCCGCGCTAACAAGGCAGCCAGCTGGCGGACAACAGCTGATGCCGTTTGACAGCTCCCTTTTATAGCCAGCTGTCAAACGGCATCAGCCAATAAACACTGGCGACGAGGGCGGGATACATATAAGAGGCAACTGGGCAAAGAATCGCTAAGCGAACTCACTACAAAAAAGAGCCGAAGTCACTACCGAGCTGAATGTCACTTTAAGAGCTTACTGTCACTATTCGCGAGCACGAATTTCAACTTTCCTCAGATGATCCGGCACTGCTGAGTCGAGATGACTTCGAACCCTGCATTCCCGCCTTTCAGACCTACAGCAGAAACATGGGAATCCTACAGAAACCAATTTGACTGTTTCCTATATGTCATAGACTTGGCTAACATTTCCAACCATAGGAAAAAGTCCTACTTTTTAAGTTTTTGCAGAGCCACAGTGTTTGACACTGTTACAGCATTATTGGCTCCATGTTCAATTAAGACTGTTCCATGGGAAGAATTGCAGGAAATTCTTTCCAACCACTATTCCCCTAAGCCATCCCGAATTGCCAGGTGTCATGCTTTTAGGAGACGGATTCAGGCTGAGGGAGAGACTATTAGTGGGTACATGGCTGCCCTGCATTGTGGGTTTAGAGACTATCTGGAAGACATGTTATTAGACCAACTAGTTTGTGGAGTCAGGGATTTAAGGCTACAAAGGCGTCTATTGGCTAAAGGGGATTTAACCCTTAAATTAGCAATTGAAGAGTCTCAAGCTGCTGAACTATCAGCACTTTCAGCAGCAGAAATTCAGGGAAATCCAATTAGCCAGAGCAGCTCAGCCATCCATTACGATGAAGCCTCCACAGAAGAAGGCTATGAAGAGGCTAATGATGTAAATCGCCTCAGGCAGCAAAAAAAACAGTCAAAGGGAGAACAGGCCAAACCCCAATCTACCTCCACAGCCTCAGCCCATTTGTCTAAGCTGTGGGGGAAACCACCTCAGGGCATCCTATAAGTTCAGGAATGCCATTTGTCTAAAATGCCAGAGGAAGGGTCATTTAGCCAGGATCTGTCAAGCAGGAAAGACTTTTGCCCAAAAGCCTCAGACAACCCAACATTTCCAAAAACAAGTTGAAGACTGTTTTACCTGCTATCAAGCCAAGCTGACTAACAAAGGCTCTAACAAAATCAGTGTTTTTGTTTCTATAGAAGGGAAACCTTGCAGGATGGAGGTTGACACAGGCTCAGCACTGTCCATCATCTCGTGGAGCACCTTGAAACAACTACTTCCCAGAATGGCTAAGAAGAAGCTTCACGGCTGCCAGCTAACTCTACGTGACTACCAAGGCAGAACCATCCCAGTCATCGGAAAAGGCAAGTTTTTTGTTCAATTTCAAAATTTTAAAGGTCACTTGCCTGTAGTAGTGGATGGTGCCCTCCCTAGCCTGTTGGGGTTAGACTGGTTCCCTGCCCTTGGCCTCCATATAAGAGGAATCCACTCTATTACAAATGCTGAAGTGGACACCTTGTTTAATGACTATGCTGATATGTTCAGAGAGGGGCTGGGCTGTTATTCAAGAACCCCAATATCTTTCAACTTGGACCCTCAGGCAGTACCAATCCGTTTAAAGCCTCGAAGGGTACCTTTTGCAATCCGCCCCAAATTAGACATGGAGCTTGACAAATTAATTAAACAGGGTGTATTAGAGCCTGTGGACTTCGCAAAATGGGAAACCCCAATAGTGACACCCCTGAAGAAAGATGGTAGCGTAAGAATCTGCGCAGATTACAAGACGTCATTGAATAAATATTTACAAATCAGCGCTTATCCAGTCCCTGTTATCCAGCACCTACTACATTCTTTTGAGCCAGGAACCATTTTCACGAAATTAGACATGTCACAGGCCTATCAACAGTTCCCTGTTGATGACACAGCCGCTGAACTACAAACTATTGTAACGCACAGGGGCGCTTTTAAATGTAGGCGCCTCCAATGTGGCGTCAGTGTGGCCCCAGGGATTTTCCAATCTTTAATGGAAAGACTTCTTCAAGGATTACCAAGTGTAATTCTGTATTTTGATGACATTTTAATATCTGCCCCTGACAATTACTGCAAAGAGTCAGAGGAGTCCTCGATCGTTTCAGGAAGCATGGTCTTAAGCTAAAAAAAGAGAAGTGCACTATTGCCATCCCACAGGTAGAATTTTTGGGATACAGAATTGACGCCTCTGGTATTCACCCAATCGAATCCTAAGTAAGGGCTATTCACAAGGCACCCACACCAACTAACAAAACTGAGCTCCAGGCCTTTTTAGGACTTCTTAACTTTTACACTTCATTTTTGCCACATAAAGCTTCCATTGCAGAGCCTCTGCACAGACTCTTGGATAAGCAATCCCCCTGGCACTGGGGACCTAAGGAAGCCCATGCTTTCTGTGCAGTCAAATCATTGCTCACATCCGATGCTGTTCTGATCCAATTTAATGAGCATTTACCTTTAGTTTTCGTAGCAGATGCTTCTCCTTTTGGCATAGGTGCCATTTTAAGTCATAGACTGCCTAATGGTTCTGAGGCACCCATTGCCTTTTTCTCCAGAACTTTTTCCCCAGCTGAGCGCAACTACAGCCAAATTGACAAGGAGGCTTTGGCTGCAGTTGCTTCTGTAAAAAAATCCCATGAGTTTCTATATGGACACTATTTCGAGTTGGTTACGGATCACAAGCCTCTGTTAGGCCTTCTGTCAGGTGATAGACAAACTCCTCAGATTTTGTCTCCAAGGATGACCAGGTGGACTTTATTTCTGGCTGCCTATTCCTGTATACTGGTTCATCAAGCTGGCAAGAGTCTCTGCCATGCTGATGCTCTTAGTCGCTGCCCCCTGCCTGTTCCTGTGGAGGATCCTGCACCAACTAATGCTGTGTTCCTGATCAACGATCTCAAACTTCCCATCACCGCCCTTGATATCGCTGCCCACTCTGCCAGGGACAAGGACAAGGTAATCGCCCAAGTTCTTGACTGGGTGGGAAGGGGGTGGCCTGCAATTCCTTATGCCCCCGAATTCGTGCCTTTCAAAATTCGCCAGCAAGAACTATCTTCTTTGCAAGGCTGTTTACTTTGGGGAACTAGGGTAGTTATCCCTTCCAAGTTGCAAGCCTCAGTTTTAAAGGTCCTGCATGAGGGCCATCTCGGCATTGTCAGGATGAAGGCCCTGGCTCGCAGTTATGTATGGTGGCCAGGCATGGATGCTCAGATTACAAATTGGGTGAATGCTTGTCAGCCATGCCAAGTTACCAGACCTGCTCCACCCACATCCACTCCAGGCAGGTGGGAAGATTCTGGGACCCCTTGGTCCCAGGTGCATATTGATCTGGCTGGCCCCTTTCACGGGCGTACATTCCTGGTGATGATTGATTCTTTTTCTAAATGGGTAGAGCTGACCTTGATGACCACCACAACTTCAGAAGCCGTCACTAAGGCTCTATCAAGGATATTCGCTACCCATGGCCTCCCTGACACTATCGTGTCTGATAATGGCCCCCAGTTTACTTCCTGTGAGTTTGAGGTCTTCCTAGCTAACCTGGGAATCAGGCACGCACTTATAGCTCCTTTTCATTCTGCCAGTAATGGCCTGGCCGAAAGAGCAATCAGATCTGCTAAGGAGGTCCTGGAAAGGCTTGGGCCCATAGATTGGCACTCTAGGCTTGCTAAGTATCTTCTAACCCAGCACACGACTCCCTGGGCCACCACTAATAGGTCCCTGGCTGAACTTCTCATGGGTAGATGTCTGAGGACTACTTTAGACAGACCAACCATATTATGCCCCAGTCACGCCCCTAGGATCAAATAGCCAGGCAAGGGAGTTCGCTGAAAATGACCAGGTCTATGCCCAGAAATATGCAGGACACCCTTTGTGGATGCCTGGGCAGATTGTGGCGGTAACCGGTCCTAAGTCTTACAGGATCCAACTGCAAGATGGGCTCATCTGGCGCCGCCAT